TCACCTAAGCACTGGCCAGGCATGGCGCCTGCTTTACTTATATAGCCGACTGGGAGATAGATTTCCGCGAATTTACCGCGTGATTTTCCAATCACATAACATCACGGCGCGAAAGTAACCGGAGCACTGGCCAGGCATGGTCCCTACGTCACTTTTATTGAGTCAGCTGGCAGCCAGTTTYCCGTGAGGTCACCTCTTGACTTTTAAATCATATCACATCGCGGCGTACTTGCTTTTCTTATATAGGTCAGCTGCCAACCAATTATGTTATTCAGTTCGGAGTAGTTTAGCGTATAGCTGCCATAAAAATTCACCGATCCAAATCAAGTTCGCGTTGGGGAAACTTTTTTATTTGGCAAGATAATTTCACGAAATTTAGTACAGATTACTGTCTCCACCAAAGGTTATTTTATACTTGGGCTTTATCCTTGAAAAACCCTATTTATCATATTTTTAATACACGGCTCTTTTTCAATAATTTTATTTATTTTTCTAATAAAGCATAAACTACGAGTTTTTGAGAGAAATCATCATAATAATATTGAAAAAAAATACTGAAATTCCACATTTTGGCTTCAATTCATGACCAACCTCCAAAATAAATATGCTTTGGCACATGTAAGTAAGTCTAGTCCAACTACAAAGTCAATGACTTCAAATAACACAATGGAAAGTAATATATTGTAGTATGTTTAGCTTGAAGCGGAAACAGCCAACCTTTTTGGACTGTTATATGGCGCTAATAACTAAGTAAATATTACTTTTGCGAAAATGACAGTGTGTAAAATTAAGCACTACGTCTCACTCACGCACTCACCTGTAGATGTGTATCACGATGTCCGGTTTTGCCATAAGCGGAATTTTTGGTCAAATAACGACGTATATTTCGTAGAATTTCAGCCTCTTGATCCTGTTCATCGGGTGTTATATCCTTTGGTTCAAAGTAGACTAGCTTTGTAAGTGTACCGCCGATATCCATGCCGAACCAAGGCATTGCTGTAATTACAAGATAACAATGAACGGATGTTAGTAATGGTACTAGAGTGCAGATATATTTAAACATACATGAAGTCTATGAAAGGCAACATAAATATGAATAATTATTGTGGTACATAGAACGGGTTTGCAGATATTTCTGTTTGACAGTTTGGCTGGGAATGCATTATTTTCCAATAATTAATGGCATGGCTACACTATGCCATGCGTTTGAAAATTGCAATGCCAAACCAATGTCAACGTTTGGTTATTTTTAGCACTTTGAGCGGCAATCAAGCAATTAATCACATTTTTTTTTGCAATTTGTCATAACATATGTTGGAATAGTTAACAGTATTGACATTTAAGATAAATGTTTCGTAAGGCATAAAGTAATATGCAGCTGTAATGTGAAATTTGAACCTCTTAAATTGCCATAAAAATAAGAAATTAAACAGCAATTGTCAATTTATATACTCGTTAGAAATGGGAAGTAACAAATCAAATATTTATTTAAATAAATAGTAAAAAAGGAATTATATACATATGTATAACACATATGCTTTTAGTGTAATAAAAAATGCTGTGTATGATATATTAATGCATGAAATTTAAAAAGAAACAAAAAATTTCTGAAAGGTTTTACCGACTGATTTTGTTTTTATTGAGACTTAAGCAAGCTTTGAGTTTATGTATGAATGTTTTTAATATAAATATAAATAATCGATATTATTAATATTGCACGTGACTAGTGTCAATTCATTAATAATAGTTTGTCAAAAAAGTCTTGCGGTATTTTTTGATTGAATTTTCAATTGTTCATAAAATTTTTTTTATGACTCATGCCCAGCTCTTAAACGATGCTAAGGCTGCTACTATGCCGGTCTCTTTTTTTATCGCAATTTTCGACGACAGGCCTTCCGGAGCGTGGCGCATCTTCGACCACCTCTACACCAGAACGAAAATATATTGAAACCATCTTTGTGCGGTGGAAATGGAAACTGTATCGGGTCCATGAACTGCACAAGTTTTATTGTCGGCTTGGGATGCATTTTTGCCTTTATCGTAGTAGTACTGTAAAACATGCCGCATTTTCTCTTTATTTTGCTACATGTTTGCTACGCTATAACTCACGAACGACTTAAAAGAAACGACAATCAATCAAACACATGTTAGCGCGTGAAATTAGCTTTCCAAAAAGGTATAGCATAACCCGATGCGATGAATAAAACTAGAACTACGCGTTCTCAGCGCCAACTAGCGAAAATCGTATATTTATTATATATAATATATATATAATATAATATTTAATTAATATTCCTTTTTTTTTGTTTTTATAATAACGAACGACAAGCTTCCGTTTAACCGATACAAATATGTCGCAATTATTCTATATATCCCTGACAGATATAGCATAGTTAAAACTGTCATAACGTCTATAAATATAATTAAGTAAGCAAAAAACTGTCAAATAGTAATTGTTAAGTATTATTTATGCTGAGAAAACAGCTGATGTTTTCAAATTACTGAGAACGGATAAACTATGGCGATCAGTATGATTTCATATATGTTATATATAATTTCTGACAGATAGATAGAATAATTAGAAACTGTCATAAAGTCTATATACATATGTGAATAAGTACACAAAAATTTTGTCAAGTCTCGTCAAATAGTCATGCTTGTGAAGTATGCGCTATCTTTCTGCTGAGAAAACAGCTGATGTTGTCAAATTACTGAGAGCGGTGAAATATGGCGATCGGTATAATGACAAGGTTGAGAAAAGTACATAAACGGGAGCACAAAAGCATGTTGACATGACATTTTATTTCACAAATGCCACGCTTTGTAAAAAATTATTAGGCAGCAGTTTAAACTATCAAGAGTGATTGTTTTGGTAGTTGTATTGATAAGTGAAAAGTAAAATGTTGGCTGATATGATTAACGCAACATCTGATTTTTAGTTTATTGCTGAATCATTTTGTAATCTACGCTTTGGAGAGAATGACAGAACTACATGAGTATAACATGGCGATTATTGGGGACAAAAAAGAAGGCAACTGAAGAATTTTAATATATTATATTTATGCTAATATATAAAAATATTACTACCCTTACGACAATTTTTATAAATTAATATTTTTTCAGTTTATTTAATATTTTGCAAATATAGACAATAACAAACAGTTATGAAGCAATGACGCGAAATATATAGTCTAAATATAAGCATAACCTCAAAATAAAGGTATTTTAAGTTTGGTACAAAGTTTGTAACACCAAGAAGAAAGGGTCCTCGGAGACCCTTTAATAAGTGTATGAAGTGAGCGTTAAAATACAAATGTGCTGATAGGGAACATTTGTTGTGGCCAAGTCTTAAGTGTTTTTACGTTTGGTTGGCATGCCATTTGCCAAACATATTCAATAACGTGATAGTTTTTATGATTTGCGAAAAGCATTAATTTTTTATTTTCATTTGATGCAGAGGCGCATCGAATGCTTTTCGAGGCATCTCTAACAGAAGCAACAAGCAAAGATGATTTCAACGGTTAAGAGATAATATTTTTGAGTTGGAAAATGAAGAACGTGGAAGACCACAAAAAAAGATTGAAGGCGCCGAACTGCAAGCAATATTGGCTGAAGATGATACTTTGAGTCAAAGCAAATAGCAGCCATGTTAAATGTTACACAAAAAACAATATCAGTCCACTTGAAAGCTATGGGAATGCGCTAAAAGTGTGGAAACTGGGTGCCACATGAATTGAATGATAGACAAATGGAAAACCGAAAAAACACTTGTGAAATTTTGCTTCAAAGGGCCTAAAGAAAATCAGTTTTGAAACGAAATGTCATTGACGATGAAAAATTGATTTATTTTAGGTACAAATAAACGTGAAATCATGGGGTAAGTGGGTGGCAGTGCTCTGTGTTTGGTGGGATCAGAAGTTTGTGGCCTGTCCTAAGCTTCTAAAACCTGGTGGAAATATTAATACTAATCGCTACAGGAAACAATTGAACAATTTGAACCATGCATTGATCGAAAAACGGCGGAAAAGCGCCGGCAAAGTAATTTTGTCACACCACAATGCACCAGCACATAAAACAAAATCGGTTCAGGATACGATTTGCTAAGTTCAAATGATTTTGACGGTCATTTTGGGTATGAAACACGTTCCTGCTCGACTTGTCCTGTTAAAGCTGAATTTTTTTAAAAAGATCCGACATTTATGGAGAACGTTATAACTGTCGATGCGACATGTCTTTGATGTCGCCAAAGAAATATTGATCCATAATTAAATATTTTACGTTTTATTTATGATTTCCGGGTATGTTTTTGTCACAATGTAATCTTTTATGATTAAAGAAATGCACGAAAAACGGATTTTTATACATTGATTTTTAAAAATTAACGACATTTGTAAAGCATTAGCTTGACATATCACTGAAAGCCTCTGTTAAAATCAAAACATAACCTCAAATTTAGGAATTTTATTATGAGAACTAACACAAAATTTTATAATGCATAAATCGAAAAAATAAACATAAAAACGAATTTTTAAAAATATTTTTTTTTTTTATATTAACATTTGTAAAGCAATAACTGAAAATATCATTGAAAATATCTGTTAAAAACTTAGGAATTTTACTATCAAAACTACTAAAAATAAATATAATCTATCAATAAATAATAAACATATAAAAATATGTGAAATATGTGAAATATTAACTTGCGATATGTGTAAAAGCAGTACTAACAAAAATCACCTGTGCGTAAAAGTTCCAAGGCAGCTTCTAAATGCATTGTGCGCTGCGTTCACTATTTTCTACGATTTAAAATTATTTTTATTTCACAGATGCATTAATATAATATTATAATATAGATATGCAAAACATTCGAAGAAATTCCGAAAACACTTCCTTTGTAGCAAAGCGGCGAGAAACACAAGCAAACAGACGGTTGTGCGAATGAACGCGTGAAATTATAGTATAACTTATCAATAGATGATCGTTAGATTAGCCGACAGGCGATTATAAACGTAGACGTAAAATGCGCGGATTTATAGAAATACAATTTATAACTGCAATAAAAGCAGCGCATATGCAACTCGCTGCCAACAACAACACTACGTTTCATATGCAGCAAACAAACATTTTAGGTTAGCGGCGCTTGGTGTAAAAGTATTTGAGTTAAACACAACAAATTTTCCATTCAAATTGACAACGAAACAGCAAATCACAGACAGATAATTAAAAAAAAAAGTTTTTTTAAAATTGACATTTACTTTTATTTTAGGTTATAAACATATCAAAAAAAATAAACAACACTTAATGTGGCACAGCTTTTGTACGCGGTCAGCGACAATTGACAACTAAAATGTGTTAGCACTACGGCAAAAGCACAGCGCTTGCTTTTTCAATAAATACAGTGTTGTGCATAGAAATGTGTATGTGTGCATGTATATGGTGAACGCGGCCACACGTAAGGGCAATGGACAGTAAATATCAACTACGATATATACCTATGTATATTACAAACATACATACATGCATATGTTGTCGTTTTAATGGCCAACCTGTTAGCAATTAAAGAACTCTATTAAATACGGACTAAAGTAGAAAGGCAGTAAATGGCACAATGGTGAAAAGTGCAGCACTTGGAGATATGATAGATCTACAGTATGTATATACATATATAAGCCCTTATATGGTATTTACAGTTGTATTGTAAGCGAATTGGCATTTTGATAATGAAATGTTGATAAGGTTTCTTATCAAATCAATGATTGAATTAGAAGAAGAAATAAGAAATAGAAATAACTAGTTATTAGACGCTTCAAGGGAATACAAATTGTGTATGCAATAAAAACAGCAATAAAAAACTTATTGCCGTATACGCAATGTGGATTTGTCAACAATAAATTACATAAAAGAAGAAAAAACGCTAACTTCTGTTACACCGAAGCTGTAATACCCTTCATAGGTGCATTTCTTATATCGTAAAGGCTACAAAGCAAGAAACAACG